AATACTCCTGACTTGTGTTTCAGAAAGTAAACCCATACCTTTCTGGAGTGATCATCGATAAAAGTCACGAAGTATTGCTTCCCACCAATGGATGGGACAGTGGTTGGACCCCAAACATCGGAGTGGACGAGCTCAAGCTTCTCCTTCTTTGGAGTTCTTCTAATTGTCTGAAAGCTGACACTGTTCTTCTTTCCAAGTATACAGCCTTCACACATGTCAATTTCTATTGACTGGAGGCCTGGTAATTTTCCTTTTGAGTGAATGATCTTCATCCCTTTTTCACTCATATGCCCAAGTATTTGGTGCCATAGATTGGGACTTTCATTTGTTGCAACTACAATCAGATGACATGCTCCTTTGGTCTTGTAAAGAGTACCACTCTTTTTGCCTCGAGCAATTGTCATCGCACCCTTTGAAATCTTCCAATCATCACCATGGAAGATTGTCGTGTAGCCTTCACTGGCTAGCTGGCCTACGGAGATTAAATTCTTCGTCAGGTCGGGAATATGTCTGACATTTTTCAATTCCCAAATAGACCCGTTCAACTTGATTTTTACTGCACCTTTGCCGACAACCTCACATGATTGCTCATTACCAAGGTAAACTTTACCAAGATTTCCAGGAACATAATTCTCGAATAGTTCCTTCTGTGAGGTAGCATGAAAGGATGCTCCAAAGTCTAACACCCAAGACTCTTCTCTGCTCTCCAAAGAACATATCAGCGTGTCTCCACTTGAGACTGGAGCAATATTTGCCTCTTCTTTTGTCTCCCGGTTCTTCGGTGCACTCTTGCACTGGTTTCTGTAGTGCCCGGTCTTTCCACAATTCCAGCACTCGATCGACTTCGAGTTTTGGGAACTACGATGATTTCTGGACCTGGATTTTCTTCCCTTTGATTTGTCGTGTCTGCTTTCTTTGGTTGAACTTCTTCCTCTCGACTCTATATGCAATACAGAAGAGGTTGATGGTTCACCCGACTCTCTCCGTCGGATCTCTTCACTGAGAACCAAATTTTGGACATCATCAAATCTCAACTCATTGTTTCCTGATGAGCTACTCACAGCCGTGACTGTAGCATTCCAGCTTTCTGGTAGGGAAGATAAAAGTATTAAAGCACGTACTTCATCATCGAACTCGATCTCAACTGAACTCAACTGGGTTGTAACTGTGTTGAGTTCATTGAGATGATTTGCCACCAGAGCACCTTTGCTCATCCGCAGGTTGAACAATCGCCTCATCAAATGGACTTTATTTGAGGCTGATGGTTTCTCGTACATGTTGGAAAGAGCCTTCATGAGGCCTGCTGTCGTCTTTTCTTTTGCAATATTAAAAGCAACATTGCGGGACAACGTCAGTCGAATGGCTCCAAGGGCTTGTCTGTCAAGGAGACTCCATTCTTCCTCCTTCATGTCCTCTGGCTTCTTTCCCGTGAGTGGTTGATACATATTCTTCTGGTACAGATAATCTTCGATCTGCATCTTCCAGAAGCTAAAGTCCGCACCATCGAACTTTTCAATTTTCATTTTTCCTTCATCTGCAGCCATCACTTCGTCTCTGATCTGACTTCTCTGCCGGATCGTTTCTGTAATTTTTGTGAACTACCGTGTTTCAGAACACGTCGGTAGATAAATATGTAGCGCCGACAAATTTGACACTATTCCCGATTTTCACTATTCACGGAATAGTAACCCACACAAAAAAATACAGAATTAACAATCTGGCTCTGATACCAGTTGTTGGGAAAAATATGCTGAAATTTTCATGAAGTCGGATCAATAAAAGTGAAATAAAAAGAAAAATTGAACACACCAAATTGATAATGGAGTTCGGCCAATAATGCCTACGTCTCCGGACTACTGCAGATATTTTATTGGGAGAAAAAAAACACTCGTGTTTACAAAACACTCGCAAACTCACTCACAACTCACAACTCAAATACACACAAAAGCTAAATTTCTATTAGCTCTCTCGCTCTCTCTTTTATTTCTTGTATTTGGTTGTTCTCTAAGTTGTATTTTTGCCATCAAAATCTCCCTCTATTTATAGAAGGGAATTGTATCAAATTGTCCACAAATGTGTGCTGCTTCTTTTTCACACCCGATTGCTGCTGCAATTTTTTAAGTTGCTGCAACATTTTTTTCTTCCTTGGCTTGCTGTCAAACAAATGAGGCAGCACCCAATTTTTGACTCAACAGTTCTTTCCCTCTTGTTGAGGTTTTAGACCACCTTAGGGTGTGTCTCCCATGTTTCCTTTTCGATTGTGTTTGTTTGTTGAACTTTGTATTAGGACTTTGTCCTCTTTGAGTGCTATGATATTACCTCTGCCGTTTTGGGGAAACAAAAATATCCATAGCCCAATTAATCAATCTAATTGATTAATTTATCTTATTCCATTTAGTTATTATCTAATCAAAATTAAATTATTTAATTAAGTCTTGTCAATTAATCCTACTACTAGTATGTAACCCGTGCGATGCACGGGCTGTATATATTTTGGTAAAATTTATAAACTAAAGACTATTAATGAATAACGTATAATCCATAGAGCATTTGTCACTTGATCATAAAATATTTATCATAAAAAAGTCATACATTATTAAGAACTTCTTTGTACATAACATTATTGGTTTTTAATACAACCAACTCACAGTCTTGGTCCACCAAATTATTATATATAAAAAAAATTAAAAAATATCAAAATTTATAATACTTTAATTTTTAAATACTACCATCACACAACCTTGCTCTACCAAGCTACATTATGAGAATCCATTGATGACCTTTGTCTTTATAACGACTCTCAAAACTAATAGTATTGTCCCTATAATAGATAAAATAATTATTTCAAACTAATAAATGTTTCTTAGACGTATATAACAATTAAATACTTTTATGCAAATACTTACTCCAAATCGAGAAGAGTAGAGTCAATCATTTGGGTATATTGTCCTGCAACTTGCTTGAATTGCACATGTTGAATTTCTACTACCAACCCAATGACATCTACATTCATAAGAAATAAAAAATATTTATTTAATAATTGTTAGATATTATAATGAACATATTCGATAGTTATTTTTATCGAAAAGTGAAGACTCATCGACATTTTACACATCACAAAATTTTGCAAAATTTCAAAAATCAAAACGGAAAATAGAGAAATAAGTTGGGTTGGCTATGATTTTTGTTTTTCTATACAAAATTATTTCGTACTTGGTAATTGTAGATCCATATTTAATAAGGTATCTTTCCACTTTTATAGTTGCAAATTGCACAAACATCTTCTTCCTCTAATTCTTTTTGGATTTTCGGAATGTTAAACACCCGAACCAAACTGGTGATTTGCTCCCCAGACAATTTATTGTGTGCTCCCTAAACAAAATAAATTGTCGGTTAAATAAAAATAATGAACCGAACATGTAAAGGAAAAGAAACAGTAAACAATATTATACCTCAATATCATGAAAATAATTTCCACGATGTTATGGTAAGAATTAGGAAATTTGATCGTAAACATGTGAACCTCTCGAAGTTGCAACATAACTCT